TACAGGGGCTGCAATACCCCCTACAGCAGCTAAACCCCCCCAAAAGCCTCTTATTCCACTTTGTAGGCTGATGTGTATTGTAGCACCCAACATAGTAATTCTTTTTAAAGTTTCATTTGTTGGTGGGTGTGTCTTCGCTTATTCCTTGTCTTTCTTCTTGTCCTTCTTCTTGCTCTTGAGGAAGGACGGTGTTCGGAGTTTCTTTTTCTTCTTGGTTGGGGATGTCTCCTGCACATTAAGAGAGTCACATTCATCATACACATAAAAATTGGTATTTTTTAAAATCCTGGTGAAATATTGAGGACTTGCTTATGCTATCTGACCCTCTATGGGCTGGGTGAATGTTATGCAGTTGTCAAAAAAATGTCAAACACAGAAAAGCTTTAAAATGTTGATGACCTCTTTACTTATTCTACTGATGTGTCATCTGCAGCTGTTGGAACTAAAGCAGCTCACAAAAATCTTTAGAGCAAAAACAGGTGTTGAAAGCAACTCCAAAGTACAGTGTATCTACTGCTTTCCACATGTGAAAAAAGAATACTAAAAACACATGTATGCTATTTCTGCTAATGTGTGTTTAACAGTCTGACTTTCCATACAAAAAAAGTCCTTTTGTTTTGGAAACAGACTACATGCTCTAAAAATGTATAGATTTGGCCAGAGATGGATACATCTTACGAAGAAACTTCCAAATAGTAGGTGACAAAGCTGTCAGTATATGATATTGCCAGCAGATTACTGTACTAAGCTTTACAATTCAATGTCTGTTTTGATAGCTGTTTAGAAATGCACAAAAAAACCCACATCACTATTACAAGGCTGTTTTACAAGCATGAAAAATGTTTTGCTGCCATGCCACTAAAACACAGAGTAAGGTGTGAAAAATCAAGTGGCTTGTGGCAATACCAGAGACTGACATGCTTACCTGGGGTGACACACCCACAAAAGATAGACCTACACAACTATGAGAAGACATCACAGATGAGAGGTAAGTAGAACCAAATAATGTAAAAGGGGGAAATCATTCCAGCTTGAATGAGATTGAGTGAAGAGTTGAGTGTCACCCAGAGACGACCCAAATTGAAAAAAAAAAATCAGTTTCCCCCTCTCAGTATTCAGAAAGTTGTTTGAATGGAGAGTCTGCATGCAAGTTTTTGTAGTGTGAGAGTGTGTGCTGCAATGAAGTGGGCAATGTGAAAGGTGGTAAAAAGTTGGACGTCTTGACCACTCAGTGGTGAAACTGAATCATGAAATGCTGAAGAACACCACCCTTAATTCAGATAGAAGGAAAGGAACTTCTGAAGTGTAACCTTGGACTAATAGCTAACCCTTCTAGCTCATCAGTACCTTAGTTGGTGAGGACTCCTTGCCGCTGGCATTGGGTGTTCCCTCTGACGACTCCCCGGCCTCTGCCGCCTTCTCAGGCGACCCGCCTGCTGGGGCGCCCTGACCGTTCACCGGGCTGCCCGCTGGAGACCCTGGGGAGGCAGGCGACAGCCGCTTCGGGCTCGCTGCTTTGATTTCTGAACAGAAACGGGGGAAAAGTTAAAAATCACAAACACACAACAATCTAAACATCTGAATAATTTCAACAGGCTGGTAAAGGACTGCATAACACAGTTCTTTATGTAAAACCAACTTGATTTTACATGCCAACCATTGGTTGTAAATTCCTTAGTTGTGAATAAAGAGCTGTGTTATACAACAATCTAAGTTTCATACACAACTAATCATTGCATCCAATCATGGACGTAAACTTATGATCACATATTTTCATCAAAATGTGGAGAAAAAGAAATTATGATTACAGGACTTTTATGATAGCACATATTTTGAATACTTTCTGAGAATCACGGCTGAAAATCAAATATGCTACCAATATCACTGAAATTGAAACAATTTACTTGAGCAATCAAACACTTCCTTAACACTACCCCAGCATTCATTTCCTGTGTATAATTATTGTGAAGGACATTTTTGTGAATCTTTTTTTATGACCATGAACATGTCAACAAATTATTAAGATTAAGTTTATCAAATATTGGACACTACTGCAACTAAATGTAGCTTATAAGTTGCTACTGTTGAATAAACAGCATTATTTTGTCATAGTAATTCAAATCAATCAGTAATATCAATACCAAGCTGCATCCAATCAAAAGACTTAAGAGAGGTAAGATAACCCCAACTGATAGATTTAGAGATGGTATCATCAACTTGCAATCAATTCGACTCATTTGTCAATTAGCAATGATTGGATCTTAATTCAACTTGAGGTTTAATCTAATTTTCCATTAATGCATTGATTAAGAGTGGCGCTCGATTACTTTCAGAATCAATCCTGTTGTATTAGATTTATTGACTTGTAATCAACTTTGTTCACTCATCAGTTATGCTGTCGTGATTTGGGTTTGAGGTTGATTGTTTTGTGACGGTTACCCTGTTTTACTGGTGCCTGTGTAGGAGGTTCAGATACAGGCTGTATGGAAGGTTTAGATTCTGGCTCTTCAGTCGAGCCAGCAGGTCTGTTAACCAAGCTCTCCTCCTGAGAGCTGTGAGACGAGGACGAGTGGCGTTTGGTAGGCGTTTTGCGTTTGATGCTGGCAGCTCGTAACTCTAGATAAGAATTAGGAGGTGTTACAGCTTGTTAAGGCATACTGCTGATAGTGACATACTGCTGTTTACACTACCTGTGCGTGTAGTATGCCTGAATTGTACCCCATTTACTTGAAAACGTATACGTGGAAGAATACTACTCTAAAATTTGTGAAAATACTAAAGCCTCTAGAAAAAACATTGGAATACATGTCTACATTTTCCAGTCCGAAATTCAGTCTGTAAGTATAATTTGTCTATACCAAACATTTGTTCCTGGTCAAAATTTACTACTACTACTAAAATATATGGGCTTATTTCACAAGTTTCTTTCTCTGGGTATCCAGCTATGTTGGTGTGAATTCGTAACAGTATGTATGGATTGAATAAAATGAACAATTACTTAAAAATCTAACTAAGAAGGCTTGCAGTCAGATGGATACTAAATTTTGAGTTGCCAACGCACAAATATTTCCCAGCCTACAGCATTTCAATCCTATCCATCGCCCACTCTAAGTCCCATGCTGTTAGTATTGGTGACATTTTGACATACCAACATTCTCCAAAATGCTATCTCATGTGCCTTCAACTACATCCTTGTAACATTGTCAGACAAACAGCAACAGCAAGAGAAGCCTTGCAGTATTCTCCCTGCCATGCTGACCTTCCATGAGTTTCTCATGTATCTCTGCGTCCTCGCCCTCCCCGGACTTGACCACCGTCAGGACGGTCTCCTTCTGGACCGTCTTCACCTGGCCATCGATCACCACCGTCTCCACGGTCGTCGTGGTGATCTCCTCCTCGCCCACACCTGCAGCACACACACACGCAGCCGCGTCACATGCAAGCACTGTCATGCAGCAGGTGGCAAACCAACAGGCTTCAGCACCAATCAATCAACTTGTGCAGAAGGGCTTGAAATAGGACATTGATTTCCACCACTAAGAAACAGTATGTTTCTTGGTATCTTTCCTAAACAAGAGTTTTTGATAAATGACACTATGTCTCTTGTGCGTCTCACCCTAGCCTAGTCTCACCCCAACAGATGGGTGTTGCACAGTATACTTCAAGAAGAAGAAGTCCAGATCATAGTTTGGGGCCCAATTTAGTTCAGCTTAAAATTGTAAAACAGCAACACCTATCAATTCTCATTGGTACTGCATCAGAAGTCCTTTTGATTGTTGTAAACATAGTTTGGAGAATGCAGAATGTCCTATTTCAAGCCACAGATGTTATCATGGACAAAACATCTTGCACAGACAAGCGTGTAGCGAAAAATAAGTACAACTTACCTCTCTGCTTCTTCTCCACTTCCTTGCGATACTCTTCCAGCTCCTTCTCTGTCATCTTCTCAAACGGATTTGGACTTTGTAACATTGGGAACACAAATTCATCCTGGAACTCCTGCTGAATTATACCCTTTGACCCCGCATGAACAACAACCTGGTCACCCTGTAAGAAGTCATGAATGGCAACACAGTGAGCATGTTTGGCTGTACTATGTTGTCTACTTCCATCTTTCATACAGTTTGCAAGTGCAAAGATACGTGTACATGTAGATACACAGGTCTTCACATACATTGTTCAAATATTCATTTTAAAATAAAGCTTAAACTTTCTTAAGCAACAGAAGTATAAGGAATCGCCAGAAAGCAGTTGTAATGCATCATGCCTGCTTTACAATGTCTGTCTATTTATGTGTGTGATATGACCTATCTTAAAAATCTCAAACTGTAAAGATAAACAAACTTACAGAAGCAGTGGCTGCCCAGGGCATGCCGTGCAGAATATTCGACTGAGGGCCTGACGATAGTTTGTCTGCAACTCGCTTGTCCTTCAGCTGCAAAACAAGTCAACCAAGTCACATTCTTGTCAGATCTCAACCACTTCCCTGGTCTAACAAACAGCGATACACTGATCAAAAGTTACAGCACACTGTAAAGAACCTTCAACACACTTACCACTTTGACCTTGTTGCGCACATCCTCTTCAGGTATCCCTGTGGGAACAAAGGCGTTGGGGTCCACCTTGATGATGGTACCTTTGCTGGGGGAGTCCTCCGACACCCACTGTTACAAAAACAAAGAAAACAATAACGAAATGATCAAAACAGTTTAATGTCACCTTCTTCAGCAAGTGGTACAAATTTAGTACAACTTTTTGATGACATTCAGCTAAAAAAAACAGCAAATACTTGATTGTAGGTGGGGCTGTGGAAGGATGAAACAATCCATTGTGAAATGTCTTCAGAGCACATTTACAGAATCACACAGGCAATTTTGAATGCTTCACCAAGGTGATTTTGTATGGGAACATACCCTGGTCACTGTTTTGGGTTCCTCTCCATCCCCGTTCTGTTCCACCTGCACCTGCACCTTGGTGTACACGTTTGGGGAGTGCAGCCACTTGGTCTTCTCGCCCTGTTTCCGGTCCATGGCCCGGCGCGCAGGCGAGAGGAAGCCCAGGTCGTCGTCGTGCCCGGCTGTTTCTGTGAATCCCGAGGCCGACGGAGGAATGGCGACCTCATCGTTGCTCTTGCCTGTGCCGGGCAGGTGGCGCACGACTGGCTGGTGGTAGATGTACCCAGTCTTGTAGCCCTGAACACGCCAGGCAAGGAAACTGGTTAGGCACTCCATCAACTATGAGTCTGGCTTGAATATAACAACCATAGGAATATGGTCGTATTTGCACCTTTCCCAAAACTTCAGGCTTTTACCTTCAGCTACCCCTATACATTTGGGATACATTGTGGGACAAAAATTTCATAACTCTACCCTTAAATTCCTTTCTCATTACAAGCTTTAGTAACTTCAAGGGAAGTGCCAAAATAGTGACAATTCTTCAGCACTCTCCAGGGCAATATAATGCTTCAAGTTAGCTACTCTCTTGCTTGATGCAAACATGCATGTTCTTCTTTTGATTCTTACCGAATTGTCCATCTGTCTCATTAGTGCCTCAAACTCTAGCTCTCCCTTTTTCCACTTGTAGTGCTTCTCCTCAGTTGCCTTGTAGTGTGCCGTGTCCCCGCCACCCTTCTGTTCCTCCTTGGGCTCCTCACGCAGCGCTGAGCGGTCCAGGACAATCAGGTTATCCAGTCCTGCAGGCATCGCCTTCAACTAAAGCAGAACAAATCCACGGTCACAACTTAGTCAAGAGTTCCTACAATCTTTTGTAATTGCATCACTTTTAACTACAGCAGCTTGAACAAAAATGCAGTTACATAACTTAAACAACTATCAAAAGTTTATGCAGTTTTGATTTTCACTGTATTAATCTATGCGAATTTAGTACATTTTTATCACCTTCAACTAAAGCAGAACAAATGTTACATGGTTACAACTGCCATTTGTATCATGATATTTTGACTGTCTTAATCGGTGCACAGTTACTGTCTTACTGTTTTGTAATGTAATTGCATCACTTTTAACTACAGCAGCATGAACTGCTCATGAGCATGTAACAGCACAGTTATAACTTATAAGAATGTCTAATGTTTATGCAGTTTCGATTCTTACTGTATTAATCTGTGCAGATTTAGTACATTTTTATTTCTAATTCAACAGGACAGAAAATGTACAAAGGAGCCTCCCATACCTTCCTTTCCAAAACAGAATTTTCTACAGAAAAATGGAGCCACAAGTACTTATTTATTACTGCTCGTATGTTGCATATTGGTTTGGCATATCCTTGGATATGAAAAGTGAAAGCAATCCAAGTAATGTATTCTATTCATACCTGTATCTCACAAGCCTTCACAGTGTTGTATGCAAGGTACCAAGCTTCCTCTATCGTCTCTGCACACACCAGTACACCGTGGTTTCTCAGTATCAGCACCTATGTACATAGCAACGCAATACACATTGTTGTGTTAAGCAGAAAAGATTCACTGAAAAGTCCAATACAGCTTTACATGATGCCAGCTATATAAATAATCTTGCTTTACAAAAGAGATGCAATTGGAATATTTGAAACATCTGCTAGTACACTGTACTAAAATAGCAATTTGGCAGACACATTATCTACAAAATGAAATGGCTTTGGAATAACAATTACACTTTTGGGACTCTAGACGGACATTCTACATCCTTCATTACTTTTCATGAGTAAAGCTTATCTAGATTACTGGTATATGACCTGCATGGTGAAATTGCTGTAGGGCAGGGAGCCCACGAATAATAGTAAGTACAAACACCTGAGGGACTTTTCCTCAAACAGGGGGTCTTATCTTACCTTGTTCTTTGGTCCCAGGCTCCTAGCGATGGTGTCTCTTTCGTTCTGGTCGACTGGAACACCGCGGTAGTCGTAGTAGGAAACCTCTCCGATCAGCAGGGCCTCATGGGATATCGGCATCAAGCCCTGCTTGGTGGCAGATACCTGAGGCAAGAAACACACAAAAGTTCATCTATTTTTCGTCACATTTTGTTGGTGACAATAAAAAAAAGTCTTTTACTTTTAGCATACGTGAAAAAGATGATACAATGATACAAGAACAGAAGGAACAGGAGAGGTGACGGAAGGAAAAGTGGGGTGAGGGGCATGTGTATAATGATTTTGTATTTTTTTTCATTACAATGACCATAATTGCATTTTCATATTCAACATGGGCTAAATGCATTAAAAGTTAGATAACTGCAGTAGAAGAGTATAATGTTGAAGCTGAAGATGTAGACTTACTGCAGACACAGCTTCGTTGTACAGGTGCATTACACATCTGCAGTCGGGGCGGAACTGGTGCACGGCACTATGCAACATGAAGCCCCCCTTGTTGATGCCGAAGGTGGTGATGCCGGGGTCGATGACCTGGCCCTGCATGTCCACCTTGACCAGGGAGGCAGCGGTCAGCTCGTTGTACATCATCCCGTACGGGTTGATGAGGAAGTGTTCCTTCTCCTGGCTGATGCGAACCTGGGAACACAGAGGGGAGGAAGATACAGATTCAGATTTATTGAATATCGACTGGCATGTCACAGCACAGTGAAGTGCATGAAACTTGTATTTACAACATACTGCCCATTATCACAATAGGACAAAATTAGCATAAAATCTCACATATATCTGCATCATTATCGGTAAAATGCAGCACAATAACTGCATCAGGAAGAAGCTGATGTCAGTGCTTCAGCATGTCTTTGGTCTTGCTGGACTTTTTTTACTCAAAATGGAATACAGGAATATCAAAATTCTTCATTCATAATCACTTGTTTACAAGAGCCAATGATTCAGTGATCATCTGTCATCTTCAATGATGGTCATTGAAACGCTCTTGTAAACAAGTGGTTGTGGATAAAGAACTTTGATACTCAATTTCAATCATTCACCAACCTGATGAAATTATTTACGCAAAAATGGAGTGTACTATCAGAAGAGGCCAGGAATTACATAGTCAATATGGGCATCCAAAATGGTTTCAATCTGAAGATAGATGATAAAGTGAGACATTATGTTTGCAAATGATTGTTAACATCGCAGCAATGACCCTATGGTAATGAAGATTCTATCCTCAGACGACACCCAGCTAGTAGTTACTAGGCAGGGCAGCACAGACCTTTACAAGTTTAGGTCTTACTTAGTTAGGCAAAGGATACATACATTCATCAGTTGAACAGCAACATACCTAACATGGCTGAAGGTATGCCTAACTGTTGTCTGAGAAGTTAAATGTATTAGTGCCAGTCTAGACATGGTTTGAATGTCAGCCAAGAGATGTTACTCATGACCAGGGGGCTGGAAATTCTCTATGATAAAGTCAGCCTTTAGGCACTCACAATTGCTGAGATCATTCTTCCAGATTGAAATATATAGTCCCTTAAGGCATGTTATGTTGGTACATGTAATAAATTATGAACCAATGGCTGTTACGAGATCATGGTGGTCATCAGCTCTACATGCAATCATGCCACAGTTCTGGAATTGCTTCAATTTGAAATCAGGCCTTCAATCACTTTGTATGTGCATTTCCGACTGAATTGTTACCACTGTACATAATTTACAGTTTACTAAGTGTTTTGCATATTTGAGTGACAGTGTGATTTATGTCATGCACTAAGTGCCTGGTTTGATCAAACATTGTTTTAACTGTGTCCTACATTCGGTTGGCAAACACCAGTACTGACTCAAATGACTGCTTCTTTCATCTTCCCTTTTGAGATATCCACAGCATTTCATGTACATAGAGCAGCTATTGAAGAAAGAAATCTACAGACACCACATACTCTGAAGTTCAATTTAATTGCTAACAATCAAATTAAACACCTACAGCTTTTCTCAGAGAAACCACCTGCAAAAGTTTGACAAAACCTACATGTATGCAACTGTATTTTTCCTTGACTTTCAAAGCCTGACAAGAGTGATTAGGACAGTCAGCACCTTTTCTCAGGGCTATTTGTAATAGAGCGGTCACTAGTCGTAGGTCATTGTACAATGTTGATGTAGAATTTTCATGCAGGCTATGACAAAACCAAAACCTACATGCATCTAGGACAGCCTTTATGGTAACAAGACAGCTAAATCTTTTTATGATATGTGCCGACCATGCCAAGAATGTCCCTAGTTCCCAATCTCAGACCAGGCCCTAAGGAGTGTCTCTGTCATGCTCATTTTCCTCCCAAATTTTATTTGTTTTCCACCCTGCTGCATGGGTTGAACCCATTCTGCCTGTAAGACAGACTCCAGATGGCATGATGGGAGCTGGAGGAGGTCTCTACCCTGCCCAATTACACTGGAATTAGGTCAGGATAATGGAGGATCAAGACAACATGGCCCCAGGTAACACTGGATTAGATGCCTGACAATCTTGAGATCACAGTTTCCATGTTGAGAATGAAGGAAGAGCTTGAGGTAAGCCAGATTGATAACCTGCTTACAAGCCTTTTCACGTGTATTTTACATGGCTGGGGGAAGAGTGTCCAGCATTTCATTACTAGAAGTAGAAAATACCATTGCATCTTTACTCAATTACTGGTACACCAGTGTTTCATATCGTCTTTATCACGATACCATTGTGTTGACTTGAGTATTGGTAAACTGATCCAAAATTTTCCTTACAAGCCATGAATTGAATACTCCTTTCTCCTGCCTATGGGACAGCTTTCCATCAGCACCTTTGTTAATTAAAACATCCCACAGGAGAAAGAGATATAAAAGTGCCTGATATTGCAGGAGCCACCCCTGGGAAATGGCAGAATTCTGAATTCCATCCTGGCTGCTAGCTGTGTAATGAAGTGTGTAATGAAAATTCTGACTTCTCATTTTCAGGGAGCACATTCTTGTGCTGTTCAATACTTGTTGGCATCACTCTCTGCTGGGAGGACAGTCTGCAGAGCAAAGCTACACCTTTCAAGCAAGAACAGACTTCACAGTTTACAGCTAGTCATGCCTTTTCCGATGATCCTTACATACCAATATCTCACTTGTCTTTCTGCATTCTAATACCTTCTATCAGATAGCCATTTGACATTTTGCATAATGACAACCCATCAAATTTATATCTTTACTTTGACTCATTTTATGGCTTTTCCACTGGGTGGAATAAATTATTACAGAGCAGGGAAATGTTGGTTGTCTTGTATGGCATCTAGCCAAGGACTCCAGGAACTATCAACACTGCATTGGCCTTTCTATAGTTACAGGTAAATATGGAAGGGGATGTATTGCTCTTGATTTATGTATTGGTAGCCCATTTTTTCAGGGCAATAAACTTACATCCTGCATTGTTACAGAATGTGGAATGACTGCATGGACGGACTTCGAACAAAGATTGGCCTACCTAAGTTATTTCTGATAATTTTAGGTTGATAGTCTTGATAGATCATAATATGCAAAATAGATCATCATTGTCTGTGGGGAAAAAACCTTTTTACCACTACTGCAAAAGTTATATGTTAAGATTATACTAGCCTTGAGATTGAATGTTTATATGATCTTGTGTTTGGCATATTGACATATTGAAAGTTCTAAAACATGAAAGACACTGTGCTCTTCCTGGCACCATGCTTGATCTGCTGACCTGTAGATGGACAGGGAATCGCCATGAAACAAGCAGGGGCATGTGTTTGGTAATCACCCCTATCCAACATGTCAACAGACCTTGCAGGAGGCGGGCTTACAGGAAACACAGTTTACTTACTTGTTTTGAACCAAAACTGTGGATCAGGTTTGGGATTAATGAGAGCCATGTGCGGCAACCACACACACACCATGTGTCTGACAGATACAGGGGCACCTGACATGTCAGGCTTGCCTGTCTGTGTGAACAAACCTCACCACAACCACTAAAACCACTCTTACCTTATCATACTGCTCATGGGATATACCACCCAACAATCTAGGGACCAGTCTGCAAGGTTTTATTTTTTCAGAATTACAAGTTACAGCAGCTACCTTTGTCTTGTGAGATGAGGGTATCAGTCCACAGTCCAGAGGTTATAGGTTAACCACAGAACATGTTGACCATTGCGATGTTACATGATTTTCTGGTCCTTTGATGCAAATGCTCATCCCAGAGTAAATATTACAAAAAGATTTATTTGGATTGCATCCAACAATCCACTGGGATTTGATAATCCCATGACCACATTGCAACAAGCTGTCTACAAATATAAACATGGCTTAGTGGGGACTTGTAAATCAACAGACACAACTAGTCCCAATTAAGACTGCCAGATACGTATAATGGATGCACACTCATGCTACCAACAGAGGTACCTTGGGGTCAGAGAGTGAGGAAGATGCTCAATTATTATTGGTGATTTGATGACAAATGTGACATATTTTCTCATTTTGATATATGTTAGCGAAAGACCACTGCAGCTTCTTTTGAGTTGTCACCTGGTTGTAAACATAGTTTATTGAAATGTATACCTTGGATCTACTTGACAACTCCAGCCATCTCTGCACACATCAGTATGACATGTACATGTTTACTGACAATAACCCCACTCACCGTGATGTGGTTGTATATGAGGTTGGTCCATCCATGCATGTCCACCAGCCGGTAAAGGGAGGCCAGCTTGCATCGCAGGAGTTTCTCGCCCTTGCTGTAGCTCATGGCGTCCACTCCGCGGAGGTCATTGATGGGGATTACGATTCCTGTGGCTGAGGACATCAAAAATAAACTTGTTGGTTCTAATCATAGTAAAAAGTACACACGTCTGTGAGTACCTAAACTTTTGCCCAACAGGGATTCCTAGGAAACTCACATGGGTCTTTTACAATTAAAGCCAATCCTGTACAAGTGATCACCTCTACATAAGAACCACCTGGCCAATGTGACAACGTTTAGTGGTCCCTTAGATAATTGTTTCTATTGAATTTGATTGATACAAGAATTAAGAATCCTCTCATGTAACCATTGTAGAGCTGATTTTATCAGTCCCCTAAGTGGTCTTCTTGTGCAGGTTTGACAGCACCATGGATTTAGCAGAGAAAGTTTCTTTATATGATAACATTGGATATTGAAGATGCGTTCTCACCTCTCATTCCCCCACCAGACAGTACAGAAGTGGGCACCCTGGCCTGGGGGAGGATGAGCTCACTGATCTGCTGCAGGGCTATCAGGCTGGCCGGATGAGGGCCTGACTTGATCTGAGACTCAATAATTTCTTCCAGCTCCTCTCTGTTTGAAAGAAATGATAACAATGGAATTAAGTTCAGAGAACAGATTATGACAGAGAGTTATTATCTCAAAACATTGGAGAGCTACTATCTATGTCAGTATGTTTCATCTTTGTATGTTTCATCTTCGTTCGGAGGTTTCCAGCAGCAATATGTCATACTGACCACTCTGCATGATCATGTTATCTGTGTCAGCATTATTTGTTTTCTACATCCAAAGTTACCAACTAGATTTTTTCTAGCTGTCACATACTCTGAAGGAGAGATCAATATATTTGTTTATTACCAGTACTGAATACATCCATTCACTTATAACCTTCCACAGTAACAATGCTTTTGCCTCAGGACATGACACCATACTTATTAAATGAAAGGATGACTTAATGAGTTGGCATGTATGCATGTTCATGAACCAAAACTTATCTCCTGTCCAACCTTTGACTCTTTTCCAATTCATGCTTTAATCGCTTTTGTAAGAACACCTGTAAATCCTTTGCACCCTATACTTGAGTCTCACAGACAGGCCATACTGCAGCCCCATGTTTGGGGAGGGTGGGAGTATGTTTGCCCAGGAAAGGTCATGCAGACCTAATGGACCCTTTGTAAAGACGAATGCCGTTAACAAGGCTTCATAGTTCTTTATATACACGTAGAGTGCTAACAAAGCTCAGGTGCATCATTTGTCAAACCCATTTGTCAAGTCCAGTTGAATCTACCAAAACGGACCATATTGCAAGAAAAACAGATAAGACAGAAGACTCATGGCAAGAAATGGATTGTGACACATATATATTGGCTCACTAGACTATAGCAAGGTCACATATACAGAGTTCATTTTACAAACATAAACAACAAAGTCATCTACGGAATGTAAACAGGTATTAATTTATGAAATACCTTAACATGTTGTTCATTTGCAACCAACAGACAACCCCTAACGAAATGAAGTATGTTGCCGTTTCTTTCTTGTGTTTGACTCAAGGTATTTACTTCGTGTGGAAAGTTTGTGGGTATGGCAAATTTGTCAACACCCCTTCAGGAATACAAAGGATGTATCAACGAGGAATACATTACTCTTACTTTACATAGGACAGAGTTCACTAACAATCTGTCTGTTTGATTTTAGTAAGTCTCAGCCACCAATAGATGACAGACTATTGTTTATGCCTCTGCTGAGGTTACCTGATGATGTCACATCATTCCCTTCCACAAAGCTTCTGTACAAAACTGGATACATGAATCATAAATTTCATTCTTACTTCTAATATAGCAGAGCTAGGGATTTTAGCTGTCACTTAGGGTGAATGGTCTAATATGTGCTTTTCAAAGGTGTGGCATTTGTTAACATTCAAAAGCAATTATCATGTTATTAATGCAGCTGGAATAGTTCAAATTAACTTACACTTACACTAAGTTACAGACAACAATCTCCGAAAAAGGAGAAAGGTCTAACAGGAGAAGTCAAGAAACCACAGTCAAGTCTGACTAACCTGAATGCTTGTGAGTTGAGAATCAGGGAGACTCTCTTGCGCTTTTCCATCTCGTGTACATCTTGCTGAATGTCGACTGGTCGCTTCACCTTGCTCTGTTTGGTCTCAGCTACTGGGGACTGGGGTGGGCTGCTCCCTCCAGATGACGCTTTACCGTCTCCCACATCAGGGGGCCCGTTCAGCACGACGTCCGTGTCCGCCATCCTGACCTGCTACGCAGCTAGGCTGCTGCAACCACAAAGGAAAGGAAATGTTTAACATATTATCAGGACTACATGAAGATTAATGAACTTTATATTCAGAAGACAGGATACCACTGCTGTGCAGATAAGAGTGGAAAATACAGCTTTGCCCACTGACCCTGGTATCACTAGGTAAAGGTCACTGGTGAAAAGCTGTTTTCAACCTTAGCATGCTGGCATTGTACTCTCTAACCTGGTCTGTGGGACAGACTCAAATTGAATTTCATGCAAAGTAAACATCTAATCTAATTACATTTTTAACAGAACAAATACCATGTTCTCAGACCATGATAACAAGAGTACAAAAACAAAGTTAGTGTACCACTTGCTACCTTCCTATGAGAATCTAGAATGTTCACAAGACCTACAAATTACCATTTATAATATAATATGTATCAAACTTTTTACTGGGGAATAACGTGTTACAACACAGTCATCGGATATTATTTCAGCAAATATGTTCCGAACAACTGTTCCATATTCAGTTAAGCAGGTTAGTATTGAGCAGTGTGAGTACTTAGGTCCACATGATGTCACAAAGCAAATTCAGTTATCCCACTGCTGATGACTCATACAGTCCACAGGACTCCACACCCACATAAACATGACTCCACTGTGTTTGAACTTGAGAGAATCAGCACTGTTTGTCTTTCAACAAACATAAAAGTTCTAACTTATTACACAGCTGCAGAGTCTGAAATCATATACTGCAATCTGGGGCCTCTAAAATAATCTCACAGTTGGACTTGGCCTTGGGAATGGCAAGAAGGAATTGAATCAGCCCTTAAGTAACCCCCTTGGGGACTCATATTACAGTCATTTGGAAGACTGGACTTCCTCCCCTGTTAAAATCAGCTTCCCGCCCACTCGATTTCTCATCCCAGTGCCAGCCTAACCCTGAGCCTGACTATGTTTCAAATCAATAAAGCACATATCAAATAAGAATACTGTTTTTTTTACAACATCAACACAAATCTTTCCTTCATGTTCGTAACTTCTTGTAGTTTTTGGTTACATTGTACATTTTGATAAAGAAATGGATCATACCGCTTTGCAATCAGTGGGTCAAGTGCATGTAATACATATCTTCAAATAGTGCATAGTGCCATAGTACATAGCATTTGGGAAAATTAAGATGACACTGTCATACATTAAGTAATTCTTTTACCCTATGGCTCAGCAGCCTACACAAGATGCACCATGCTAGTGAACATTTCAACTAGTCAATTGTATAAACTTTGTAAACAAACACTACTTCAGGACTGTGTCAGTATAGCAGGGTCAAGTGGGAGTATAAAGTTACCAAATGCAAGAATCAATCTGATATGACTCACCATCTGAGTGGCAAGGGTTAGAAAAACAAGGAGTCACAACCATTTATATATTACCAACTTCTACAAAATTAACACATGACACCATTCATACATACATACACCTCAAGCTTGTCTGCTAGTCAGAAATATGACGATAAACCCTCACACAACATTCCCGTTAGCAGACAGCCGCCAGTGCACCAAGGTTTACATGCACAACAGTATTCTCTTCTGGAGGGACAATTGGAAAGCACGACTGACATGTAATCCCCTGGTTCTATTGTGTGGCAATGACCTACAAATACAGATATTTCAACCATAAATGGCCCCAGCCATACAATCCCAGTGCATCCCCTGCAATGCTCCCATTTAGGAAGCAATGACATCATCCTGACCTTTCTGGTGACCTCTAGGGTAGGGTTGCAGGATGTGGGGTTGAAACAAAAACACCAGTCAACAGCAACAGTGCTGTCCAGGTACGCTGACACTTTTTAAAAAGTTACAGGTTACATTACAATAACAATCAAAGTTCTTATAACATTTTGCGTTTACAGAACCATATTTCTAATTCACCCCTCATCATTAT